TATGGGTGTTAGACGCGGTACCGTTGCTTTATTAATACGTGAAAACGAAGACTATAAAGATTTATATGATGAAGTTAAACAGGAAATTTCCACTTTATACTGTCCCGTTTAAGATAACAAAAAATGTAAAGCCTACAACTCTTTATTTCATTTTAGTTATTAAGCTATTTTTTAAGTCTTAACAAATTTATAGAAAACAAATAAAAAATTACAAGTTTTTTTTGTAACTGAACACTGCACTTCGATCGTTTGTTATTTTGTTTAGTGAAACTCCGTGTTTTTTAGCTTGTCCCTTTGGGATCTTTTTTTATTTTTTATAACTTTTTTTCTGATTTTTTTTTTTCATATATAATTAATTTTTAAAAATTTTTCTTACTAAAATTACTGAAATACATAGATAGATTTTTGTTTTGTTTTAATTACACTGAGTTTTTTTATATAAATATTTTTTGTTTTATTTTTCACTTAATTTTATACAATTTTTAGACTACTTTATGAAAAAAAGAAACGATAAATTGTTCAAAAGAAAGAAGAAAAATTAAATACATTTTTTTTTTAACAAAACAAAAAGTACAGTTACAAACAAAATAATTGGAATTTTCAAGAAGACAGTTCCGAAAAAGACAATTTCAAACAAAAATCGATCTTAAATTGTAGAACGAGTACGTTGGAATTAATACTATATTTCCGGAGACTGTACGTTTTATTAAACCTAAACATATCGTTAAGTAGTTTAAAATAAAAGCGTTAATAACAAATGTCAGCAACACCGATAACTAGGACTGAAGTGTAACGTTCCCACGACAATTGGATCTTCGCTCCGGAACGACACGAGCCGTAATAAAGATTGTTAACCCAGCAACAGCTGTATCAACCGAAAGTTTTTTTCCCCCAGGAAAGAACTATCGGCTACAGTCGAACTGTTAAAACAACTACTGAAGTGGAATGGAAAGGCTGTGAGCTCAGATGAAATCCCTTCCGAAATTAATAGATGACGACAATGTTATACTCTTAGTAAAACGATACAGGTCAGTATACCAAGAATTGGATGGTATCAACTTTTATCGACATTCGGAAGAAAAATATCGCTAGGAAATACAGTGATTATAGGCCAATTGGTCTCAAACAGAACTGTCCGGGTGTACAAAGGGATGATTTTTATGCATCATCGCTTATTAAAAGACATTTGATATGACAAATTAATGGACATCTTATGATCCTATGGAATAGAAAATAATGCGATAGAAAATAATTGGTGCAATTGAAGTCTGGTTACACCAAAATTTGGACGTAAAAAACTTGGGAGATTTTGAGATTTGGCAGGACCATTGAAAATCGGAAAATTGGGAAAATTGAAGGTAGACGCGTGAAAAGGGTAAAAGAGAAACAAGCTGGCTGAAAATAATCAAGATTGGTCTTGATAGTGTAGTCTATAGCTAAGTCATTAGTCTAGTCTATAGTTCAGTATTTAGTCTAGTCTATAGTTCAGTCTTTAGTCTAGTTTACTGTCTAGACTATAGTTTAGTATTTAGTCTAGTCTATAGTTCAGTCTTTAGTCTAGTTTATAGTCTAGTATATAGTCTAGTCTATAGTCTAGTATATAGTCTAGTCTATAGTTTAGTATATAGTCTAGTCTATAGTCTAGTCTATAGTCTAGTCTATAGTCTAGTCTATAGTCTAGTCTATAATCTAGTCTATAATCTAGTCTATAGTCTAGTCTATAGTCTAGTCTATAGTCTAGTGTATAGTCTAGTCTATAGTCTAGTCTATAGTCTAGTCTATAGTCTAGTCTATAGTATAGTCTATATTCTAGTCTATAGTCTAGTCTATAGTATAGTCTTTAGTATAGTTTATAGTCTTGTATATAGTCTAGTCTATAGTCTAGTCTATAGTCTAGTCTATAGTCTAGTCCATAGTCTAGTCTATAGTCTGGACTATAGTCTAGTCCATAGTCTAGTCCATAATATAGTCTATATTCTAGTCTATAGTCTAGTCTATAGTATAGTTTATAGTCTTGTATATAGTCTAGTCTATAGTCTAGTCTATAATCTAGTCTATAGTCTAGTCGAATGGCAATATAGTCTAGTCGAATGGCAATCATCGACATAATTCACTTTCTATTATGCTGAAAAAAATATTTAAAAAATTAAATAAGATCAAAAAAAAAAATATATCATTTTAAAAATGTTTCAATAATTATTCAAAAAATTTTTTAATTTAAATTGAAATTAAAAGTTTTTTTTTATATATATAAATAAAAAATAATATGTGTATTGTTTTTAACTCAATAATTACAATGTTTTTTTTTTGTTTTTGTCACATTTTAATAAATTTTTTTGGGGGTTTTAATTATATATATTTTTTGTTGGTTTTTTATATATATTTTGTTAATTTTACATAAGCTTATATAAATTGTAGTTGATTTTTGTGGGGGGGGGGGGGTTTTTTATTTTACTTTTAGTAAATGACAATAATAATTAAAAATATTTATTTTTTTGTATTAATAATTAATTAATAATATTTTTAAAGAAGTTTTATATTATGTATGTATGTAGGGGGTAATCATAAAAATGTAGGACATAATAATGCTATAGTTTTTGTTTTTATTTTTTTTTTATAATAAAGAAACATAATTTTTGTTTAATATTAATTATTATTTAATTTAAATTTATATAAAAAAGTGTTATATAATTATTTTTTTATTTTTATAAAGTTTAAGTAAGAAAAATTTTTAAAGTAGTTTAAAAATTAAAAACAAAAATTATATATAAAGTTAAGGGAAAACTAATAATATTTAAAAGTAAAAAAAATGAAAACAAAATTATAATTACACTAAGTTTAAGGGGAGTTTTTTTAAGGTTATTTTTTTTTTTTGTTTTTTTATATAAATTGTTTATATTTTAGGAGGGAGTGGGGAGGTTTTTAATTATACAGTGTAGTTTGTTTTTTTAATAGTTTTATTAAAATTTTCTTTTTTATGGGTTTTTTTTTCATAATTTTTTTTTTGCGTTGTTAATTTTAGCTTACAGTTTATAGAGTCCTATATTTAAGTTTTACAATAAAAATCTTATAATATAAATTGTTTATATATATTTTTTTGTTGGTTTTCATTAATGTTTTTGTTGGTTTTTTTTTCATTCATTTAAGTTTAAATTTACAAAGTTTGCAAAAAGTTTATTTTAGTGTTAATTTTTTTGTTTAAATAACATTTTTTTAATTTGTTGTTTATTTTCTTAATTTTTTTTTTTTTTTTTGCTATAAAATATTTTTTTATTATACATTTAATAATTATTTTTTTTTTTTAATTTTTGTTATAAAAGAGAAACTCAATTTTAGCTTATTAAAAATTTGTTTTGTTAATTTTTGTTTTTTTTTTGTTTAATTTATAGCAAAAATATTTATTTTAATTCTAATTTTTTTTTTTATAATTTTTACGTTTTTTTTTTTGTTTTTTAATTTTAATATTTTCAAAATTTAATTTTAAATACAAAATTGTTAAGCAAGTTAAGCGTTTAATTTTATAAAGAGCTGTTTATTTATTGAAAAATAAAACAAAATATTATTTTGAAAAACTCTAACCTCAAAATATGTATTTTTTTAAAATTTTGACAAAATTTCCAAAAAATATATTTTAAGTTAAAGAATTCAACAAAATAGTTAACAAAGTTAAAAAATCTATTTATATATGCCTTTTTCTTTATAAAATGTATAAATTTATTTTTAAAAATTGAAATATATCGTTTATAACCTCAAACTAAACCTTTAAAAAATGTTCGTTTCTAACCTGAAAAAAAGTTTATTTGCATTAGTAAATGTTTTGTTTACTAATAAAATGTGTCAATATTTCTTTAGATTTTAGACAAAATTATGAGATTTTTGTTTAATTAAAGAACTGTTTACACATGTTTATGAGTTTTGCCACTGAAATTTATAAGAAAACTATTTTATAAAACAGGTGTCAGAGAAATTTTACACCATATTACAGATAAACTTTGACCTTTGGATCAGAACAGTAACTTTTGAGCTTTTTTCAAAATGAAATATAAAAAAATAAAAAGAAAGTGAAAAGAGGTTTTTATAAAATTTAACATTAAAATATATAATAGTGTAACCTTTGACCTTTGGGTTTAAATTAGTGAATTTTGAAATTTTTTAACTAAAATAAATGAAATGAGATTAAAAAAAAGGTCAAGTGACCTTTGGCCTTCTATAAACTCTAAAGTGTTAAATAAACTTCTAATTGGTTTAGTTTAATGATTCCGTGCGCATTATTAATATTTTGTTCAAAAAGGTCAAAGGTCACTTTTTTGAAAAAGTTCAACTTAAAAACAGAAAATTTTTAATTTTAGAAATTTAAGCAAACAGACCTTAAAAAAGAGATTTTTTATAAAATTCTACTTTAAATTAAAAATTTTATTACCTTTGACCTTTGTTTCAAAACAATGACTTTTGATATTTTTTATATTTTAAAATTTTACTTTAAATTAAAAATAATATGACACTTGACCTTTGTTTCAAAACAATGACTTTTGATATTTTTTATATTTTAAATTTATAAAAGCAGAATTTAATAATTAATTCAAAACGAGGTTCTTGTAAAATTTAAAATTCTACTATAAATCGAGTGACCTTTAACCTTTGTGTGATAACAGTGATTTTTTTTAACTTTTTAATATTGAAATATAAATTTCTTTTTAAAATAGAAAATATTAAATATTTGTCGTAAAAAAGAATTTCTTGTTAAATTTAATGTATATAGAGTGACCTTTGACCTACGGCTCAAAATACAGATTTTTAAGTGAAATTTAATACATGAAAATGGGATAAGATTAACCCTTAATAATTCTCCTTAACCCTTAATAATTCGCCTTTTTGTTTAATTTAACTTTAAACTATAAATACAGTGACCTTTGACCTACTCTATTTATAGTTAGAATTGTTGAAAATAGTGAATTTGATCTTTTAATATTGAAATTTTTTTAACTTTTTAAGTTTTCTCATTTTTTGAAATGTAAAAATGCTAATTAATTAATAGTTTTTTAGCATTATTTCGGCATTTTAGGCTATAAATAGAGTGACCTTTGACCTTTGGTTAAAAACAATGAATTTTGATTTTTTAAAATAGAAAATTCCTTAATAATTCACGTAATAAGAGGTTTTTGTTTAATTTAACTTTAATATAAAAATGACCTTTGACCTTTGGTTCAAATCAATGACTTTTGAACATTTTTTGTAACGTAAAATTTTTTTATATGACATTTAAAATATGAATTTCATAATAGTTGATTAGTATTTCGGCATTTTAAGCTATAAATAGAATAACCTTTGACCTTTGGTTCAAAGCAATAATATTTGACCATTTTCAGAAATGTAACATTTTTTAAATGACATTTAAAATTTGAATTACTTTATAGTTTAATAGTATTATTTCGGTATTCTAAGCTATAAAAGGCTTTGGCTGAAAATAGTGCGTTTTGAGCTATTTTAAAATTGAAAATATGTATGAAAATTAAATTAGAAAAATCTTTAATAATTGTCGAAAAGAAAAGGTTCTTGTGGTATTTATGAATAAATGGAGTGACCTTTGACCTTTAGTTCAAAACACTGACTTTTGATTTATTTTGAAATTTAAAATTTTTAAATGACATTTAAAATTGTAACTATTTAATAGTTTATTAGTTTTATTATAGATTTTTGAAATAGTTGTTCTAATACTTTATTTCGATATATTCGGAAAAATTGTAAATAAAAAACGGAAGGACTTGCTTTATATGAAATCTAGATTTAAGTTTATTAAATCTAGAGGTTTATGTTTCAGAGATTTGACCAAAAATTTGCTGATTAGAAAAATTTTAAAGAAATATTTTTTCAAAGATATTTTTCTGTCAATTTTAAACATTGAGTTTTAAATTAAAGGTAGAGATTATAAATGTTTAATTTTTAATAAAATTACTAAAGATTTGAATGTAGTTGCTTTAAAAATTCTAAAAATGTTTCGTAAAATTTACTAACTAGAGAAAAAGGCATAGTTTTAACAAGGTGGCTTATTAGCTTGTGTAAGACCATTTGGTGTATTTTTAATAAAAAGGGGGACAACTATTACTTAGGCAGTGGATTAGGTTAAATAACTTTATAATAAAAAAAATGCTTTTAAGTTTTAATATAACAAACCCACAGCTCTTTTTATAACACTTAACTTTAACTTAGCTTTTAAACTTTGTTTTAAACATGAGGGGTTTATTTTTTTTTTGTTTGTTTTTTTTTTTTTTTTCTTTTCATATTTTTTATATATTTTTTTTTTTTCGTGTGCATTATTATAATTTCTTATTAGTTTTACTTCTTACAAATTGTTATAGTTTAAATAATTGTTTTATATATTTTGTTTGCAGTTTTTTTGTTTGTTTTTTTTTTTACTTATTTTTTTCATTTGTTTATAATAACTTTAATATTAATAATGTTTGTTAATTAAACATATATATTCAATAACTAAATTATTTTAATAATAATTCTTCATAATCAAAAAAGAGAACATTAAAATAAAGTCATTTAACGACTTAACACAAAAATCAAATAACAAGTTTCTTTTAAAATTTTTTTTCTTTAAAAAAGGGCCTTTTAAAAAGTAAACGTATTTGTGTTAATTAAACAAACTAAAAATTAAAAGTAATAATATACAAAAAAATAATATTAAAATAATTTCCAGCCTAAAAAGAAAAGAAATACATTAGCATAAATTTAACTAAAAACTAAAAAAGAAAAATTAAATTTAAATTAAAAAAACTTCAATTTTTGTTAGCCAAAAAATAAAGGTCTCTCTCTCCTCTTCACAAATTTCCTTCTAACCCTAAACGTTACTTATTCAAAGGCCCCTTTTTCTAAGAAAAGTCTTTTGAAACTTGTTTTTGCCAAATTCTTATTTCTTATTGAAAATAATTATAAAAACCATTCGTACCTTGACCCAGTTCACGTATGGCAGCAAAGGGATCCTTTTCCCCGGCCTCAACACCACCATTATTGGCTGCAGCTCCCACGGTTAGACCCAAACCTAAACCATTGCCACTTAGATTGGCCACCATAGAGTTGTGTGGAAAATTGTGTTGATGATGATTATGTTGATGCTGCTGTAGAGCAGCAGCAGCATCCGCTTGTTGTGGTCCTTGACTTAAGACGGCTGCATAAGTAGTATTACGATTATCACCACTACTTACTGCCGGATTATTGGCAGGATGTTGTTGTGCTAAGTTATTAGCCTGTTGCTGTTGTTGCTGCTGCTGCTGCTGTTGAAAATTTTGTGTATGAAATGTATTATTAATGCCATCGCTAAGACCAGCCACAAAAGTATTATTGCCCATAAACAAGTCCATGTCATTTTTAAGCCCCGTAGCATTGAAGTTATTATAGAGTAATTTCTGTAAAGTGGTATTGTTTTGCTGTTGATCTTGCTGGAATAATGCCTCAATTAAGGTGCTAGAACCAGTGGTTAGACCAGCTAAAATATCATTAGGACTGCCGGTAAGCATGTTGTCTGGTGTGGAGGAGGACAAAGAATGACCGCCAGTAGAATTACTAGAATTGCCAGTACTGTTGAGGTGATGATGACCATTGCCCATGGGCAAACCCTGACGTCTATACAGAGGCACAGAGGAAGAATTTGAAGAGCTTGAACCACCACCGCCACCTCCTGGTGGACCACCCATTAAATAGTCTTTGTTGTTCATAAGGGCATCTGTGAAAGAAGTTAAGAAAAACACATTAATTAATAAAAGTCTAGCTCAGTACTACATCATTTCTAGTTCAGCTCTGGTTGAGTTTTGGTTCAGTTCTAGTTGTTCTAGTTTAGTTCTAGTTCAGTTCTAGTTTAGTTCTAGTTCAGTACTAGTTCAGTTCTAGTTCAGTTCTAGTTCAGTTCTAGTTTAGTTCTAGTTTAGTTCTACTTCAGTACTAGTTCAGTTTTAGTTCAGTTCTAGTTCAGATCTAGTTCAGTTCTAGTTCAGTTCTAGTTCAGTTCTAGTTCAGTTCTAGTTCAGTTCTAGTTCAGTTCTAGTTCAGTTCTAGTTCAGTTCTAGTTCAGTTCTAGTTCAGTTCTAGTTCAGTTCAGTTCTAGTTCAGTTCTAGTTCAGTTCTAGTTCAGTTCTAGTTCAGTTCTAGTTCAGTTCTAGTTCAGTTCTAGTTCAGTTCTAGTTCAGTTCTAGTTCAGTTCTAGTTCAGTTCTAGTTCAGTTCTAGTTCAGTTCTAGTTCAGTTCTAGTTCAGTTCTAGTTCAGTTCTAGTTCAGTTCTAGTTCAGTTCTAGTTCAGTTCTAGTTCAGTTCTAGTTCAGTTCTAGTTCAGTTCTAGTTCCGTTCTAGATTTGTTCCAATTCCGTTCCAATTCCGTTTTAGTTCACTTCTAGTTTAGTTTTAGCTCAGTTCCTAACAAATCTTTAATCAATTGAGAAAATAACTTTTATTTGTTTTAAACAATTAAATTGTTAGTTCGCTCTAGCAGTACTTACTGTTTGTCATATAACCGCCATGATGATTGGCGGTCTGTTGTTGTTGCTGAGGCGTGGACATGCCCATCATATTAGGTGGCCCTGACATTTTAGACATATTACCACCTGACGTTTGACCATTACCACCACCAATAGTTGGAAACATTTTACTGCCACTCATAAGCGTATTGGAGGAGGATGCATTACCGGTATTTAAAAGTAAATCACCATTCATGCCAGCAGCATTGTTACTGCTACCACCACCCACACCAAAGAGATCACGTAATATAGGTTGGCTGATTTCATTGCCATTGATAATGGAATTGAAGACCATATCAATTTGTTGATTGAAATTAATATCCAGCGGAGGTGTATCATCATTTACTGCAGCCAAATTGAGGGGAGCTTGCAGGAGATTTCCCGAGCCTGTGGGACCCATATAAGGATTCATATTTCTTTGCTGTTGAGCCTGTTGCTGCTGTTGATAGTTCATGAGTGGTTGCATAAAGTTGTCACGCGGCATTAGTTGCTGTTGACCCGGTTGGGTTGCAGAATTGCCACCAGCTTGTAGATAGGCCTGTTGCATGTGTTGGGGAGGTGGTTTATTTACCTGGGGCGGTTGCTGCTGCTGTTGTTGTTGCTGCATCATGGCACTAACCTGCCGCAGGACCTCAGTAAATTTATTGGCAGCCTCTTGACCCTGTGTCTCCAATAGTTTTAAGTACCATTTATATTGGGACTCTTTTGGTTCAAAGGCCATTTCATAGATATTGACATTGGGCGGCAAAAGTGAGGCATATTCATGCGGTTGAGGAAATCGTAAAGCCGTAGGAGATTGTTGTTTATTAGCTGAACCCACCATGGCATTGGGGGGTTGAGCTTGAAACATGCTGCCACCAATATTGAGCGGTACATGAACATTATTGAGAAATTGAAAGTCTTTATCTTTTAATTGTCCAGGTAGATTGTTTTGTCCGAAAAATGCATTTTGTGTAGGAGCACCGGCTGCTGTTGGTGGTCGTGGCATAAAGGGATCCATGGGAGATATGGGTCCATTGGGTATGCCACTTATATTTCTTTGATTCATTAACTGCAGTTGATTGGCGGGCGGTGGTGGTGGCACCTGGCCCTGGCCAAATCCAGCAAAGTTGCCGTGGGCCTGTGGCGGCGGGACTTGATTGCCTTGTTGTCCTGGATGCTGTTTGCCTGCATATAAGGCCTTATTGGCCAAGAAACCCAAATCATTGGGATTATTTCGCATTTGTTGCTGCTGCTGTTGGTTGGGCAAGGGTGGTGGTGGCTGTAAAGGCACACTGTTGCCTCTTATATTCTGGGCCGTTTGTTGTGGTGGCATTTGACGGCCATTGGCGCCGGAGTTATTAGAGGATTGCTGTTGCTGTAATTGAGTTTGTTTTGGTAATACACTCCAGGGATTGGTTTGAGGTGGAGGTCCCCATAGACTGGCATTGGGGTTTTGGGCTGTTGGTACTCCTGGCTGTTGCCCAGCTGAAGATGAAAAGTTTCCGGCAGCTCCTGGGGGACGCAGTTGTTGTTGGGCATGTTGCCAGGGCATGTATTGCGAGAACTGATTTGCTGCTCCAGGGTTTGGAGGTTGTCCCAGGTGTACGGCTGGCGGCGGTGGACCACGCGGGTTAAATTGTTGCCCACTCATGGGTGGAGGAGGCTGGGGCTGTTGTTGTGGTCCTCCGGCTGAGGGTGGAGGACCTATTGCTCTCATAGGCATGTGATTGGGATGTCCATGGAAATGATGTCCTCCTTTTCCGGCCACCATGCCCTGATTCATCATCACCGCGGCTGCAGCTGCAGCGGCATTGTAGGCAGCAGCCGCCGCTGTATGAGGGCCATACATATGGGGCATTTGTTGGGCGGCATGATGAGGAGGTATCTGCCCACCACCACCTGCTGCTAATAAACTGGGATGTGGCGCACCCATTCCGGCAGGTCCATGATGATGTCCTGGATGAGGCCCCATGGGATGATGATTATTTGCCGCCATGGCCAAATACATGGCAGCCTGATCTCTGAGATAAGCTTCGGGTTGCAGAGAACGCGGTATAAACTCAGGCGCTAAAGGATTTAAAACATAACCACGTTTCAGCTCAACACCATCTAACTGGGAACGCAATTGCCACATCGTCAAACCAAAAAGAGATTTATTTTCATCGCATATCTCTATAAAACGTTCCCACACCTTACGGCAACGTCCTATAGAACACAAGGCTACCGGATCTCCCACAACGGCCACCAAACTTTGAGCTCTGGTAATGGCGGTATTCAATAGCTTGGAATTACTCAAAAAACCATAGTCAGCATCTTCGCTAGAGTTATTTGACTGGCCGGGAAAACCGGGTGCAGCACCCGCTGCATTACTAGGCAAACAGGTTCGGCGCGTACGCACGGTAGAGAGAAATACTGCTCTAAATTGTTTACCCTGGACATTGAGTACACGTTCAACTGAAATGCCACCCATGCGACGTTTTCTCAACTCTAAACGTATGCGAAACACTTGATCCGAATAGGGCGTCATAATGCCTATGCTGGCATCATTCATTTTACCCCAAGAACTAGGCCATTTTTTGCGCAACTCTGATACTCTCTCCACCACCTCATAGACCTCGGCATTATTATAAAAAGCCGTTGAATTTTTATCCTGAACATCTTCTCCTCTAGTGGTGAAAAACGTTAAAGGATAGAATTTCTCATGTCTTGGCTGTTTACCCGAAGCTATAAGCTTTTGTTCATAAAACAACTCCGAAGTGAATTTAATAATGGCCTCATGGGCACGATAGTTTTCACATAAGAGTATTTTGCAGGGAAAATTCGAAGGATAATGATCGTATAAACGTTCCAGCAGTGAAATGTGCAATTTACGCTCTTTGGCAAAGGCCGAGAAAAGCTCGGGACTCATTTGCATATGATCACCAGCTAAAACGATGCGTGTACTGTCATTGGCTAAGGCTAAAGGCATAATGGCTTCACATTCCATAGCCTGGGCAGCTTCATCGAGGAATATGTGGGTAAAATAACCCTTAGGGAGATCAAGATTGGCCAATTCCATGGAAATATTTAGGGTAACCACCACAATACGATGTTTCATAATGTCCTCAACGGTGGGACGCCGAAAGTTACCAGCGCCATCAGTGATACAATACTGGGGAGAAAAAAAGGAAAAACAATAAAACTTTAACATTTTTATTTCGCTAACAAACTCACCTTTTGAACTACACTATTGACCGTGGCAACCCAACGTTTGTGATAGTACACCCTCAAAGGAGTGGCCTCTTCTAGACCGGCTTCTATCCAGGGATGTAAATATTCTTTGATATATAAATCTGCCGCTGAATTAGAGTGGGTACATATTAATATCTTGGCCTCCGGCTGCGTTAATAATTGTTTTATAGCCTGTGCCAAGGTATAGGTTTTACCAGTTCCAAAGGGCCCTATTAGTAGAATAGGAGGTAATTTTATGCTCAACGAGGTGGTTATAGCATTAACGGCTTCTCTTTGTTTGGCATTTAATTTGGGTTCACATGTCTCAGACCATTGTTTTTTAGGGGTCCAGGGTATATTGGGTTCTATTTCAGTGGCAGGAAAGATAATTTTAAAATCTGTAATCTTATCGACCGCATGATGCCATTCACAGTAGGGCAAACGATTCAATTGAAATTGTATGTCCACCAAAATCTCAGTATCCGATTTTAACTGCATACCTTCCACGCATTTCGAACCCAACTTCAAATAGATCACATTTTTACCCTTATCCTCTATGACAGCCTCGTAAACATGACGCTTTTTATCCTTAGTTTGCACATTTGCTTCCTCTACGGGTGAGATATAAACACTCAAACAATTGGAGAGTATCAAGCGGCCCGCTGAGGTGTCTTCCGAAACATCTTTACCCAAATGCATTAAGGCAAACAATTCTCCCGATAACGAATACTTGGCAGTACTAGTAGCCATGCCAGCTGGAGTCAGGATATAATTAGAAGTCACACCCAGTTTAGTGCGTAGATTAAAACGGGCAATTTGTTCATAGCGTGCTATCTCCTCCACATACAGCAGTTCATGTATGCGTGAACGATAGTTGTTTTGTGTCAAGCGTTTGTCCAGTATGGTGGACTGGGTGAGAGTAAAAGTTTGAGCTCTTGGGCAGGGATAACGCTCTAGCATTTCCTTTTCATGCTTCAAATCATTGAGATAAGCTTCAGTCTTCATGTGTGAGCCGATGGTGGTCTCAAATTTAACCAATTGTGTATTGGAAACATCCCATCTGGTGGCCGAACTATTAATGATATCACGTCGTATTTCCTCTATCTTCTCGGCATCACTGACGGGCACTACATCCACACACAAGTGTCTTACCAGCAGAGGCTCAGAGCCGAAATCAAAACAAACTGCTTGACGAAATGTACCATAGATTTCGGTATGAAACTCCAAAGTCACCTGATGTTCCATTAGCGACTGCAGGGCAGTGTTTGCTTCCGAATTTTCTAAAGGCTTTTTTGCTACCTCCTCTTTGTCCACCGAACAGTTGAGGAGAGAGGATACAGATGATGTAGCAGAGGCAGAAGCTGAGTGTTTATTGGAGACCCATTCTTGATTGGTTTTTGTGTCCAATTCAATGGTGGTTTCGCCTGTTTTAATGCTTTTTATGGCAAAATGACTACGATGAGCATCTTGCAGTAGAGCCACCGCTTTTAAGGGTTTATTGTTGCTTCTTAAAATAAACACCCATTCTCGCTTGGAAGTCTTTGAACTTATGCTGGTTACCAAATCCTGTTCACATTGTGCCTCTATGCCCTCCACCTTTTCCGACATGATTTTCTCGGGCACTGTCGACTGTATCCATTTCTCTAATACCAACTCTGTGTAGGACTTGCCATAAAGCTCCTTCTCACAAGCTTTCTGCACACGCATACGTCGGTATTCGAAACGATCTTTCCATTCGTTTAGTTCATCGGCTCCATGAGCCTCCACACATTGATTGCCATAATGACACAATTGCGATTCCGTCCATGACTCACAAAGACTATAGGAATCGAGTGTAAAGCCACGAGGAGGTGGTCTCCACTTCCAATCTCGTCCCTCATCGGACATAATCACATTTTGGTGAGCCTCGGTTTGGCAATGTTGCCTTAGCTCATTGCGTGAGTTAAAGGTTATAGCGCAATACGAACAGGTAGTGCTATTGGCATTGTCCCCACTGCCTGTACTATCATCGCTTATGGATTTATTACTGCCCGAGACTTTAAGGGCCGCCAGAAGTTCGGTATTCTTTTGCATTACCGCTGTGATATTATTGCTGGCACCATTTTGTGTGGGATTTTCACGCTTTTTGATACCTTTATTACTGAGCGGTTTACTGTATTTATCTAAAGGGAGATTATTTGTGGCCCAATGATCTAGTTTGGTATCGAGTATATTCATCTCATCTTCTAAGCGGGAATTGTGTATCTTTTGTGTTGATTTATTGCCACCATTAAGCATTTGTATAACGGATTTATAGCGTTCTAAAGTCTTGCAAATATCACCAAAACCCTGCTGTTGTTGGAGTTCAGCTATCCATTCGGTTAGGAGTTTTTCGGCTTCCTAGAATAATGAAATTAATAAACAAACTTAGTAGAAAACATAATTCTTGTTCAGTTCTAGTTGAGTTTTAGTTTAGATCTAGATCATTTCTAATTAAGTATAGTTAAATTCTAGTATAGTTCTAGTTCAGTTCAGTTCTATTTCTAGTTCAGATCTAGTTCAGTTCTAGTTCAGATCTAGTGCAGTTCTTGTTCAGATCCAGTTCATTTCTAGTTTAATTCTTCTTATTATTAACATCTAAATATCTACTTTAAAGTGCATTCGAACATTTTCATAAGTCGTTATCCACTCACCGTATACTTTTTCAATTTACACAAAGCATGCACCAGCCAACGTCTTGTCCGCGATATGCTGGCCAAACAATCCGACTGTTGTTCACTTAGCATTGACAATACTTTACGGGCATCATTCAAACACAACTCATATTTACCCAACTCCAATAGACACTCGCAGCGGCCCAACAGACAAATAATATGACGATCTTTTTGAGCACGATTACTAACCAGCGGAGGAGATGAGAGGATCTGATCATAAAGAGTAGCAGCACGAGACCAATTACGCCATCTGACATTGTCATGAGCCTGCATTTCCTTGTCGGACATGTCTGTGTGTGTGTGTGTGTGTTAGGATGAGTCTATACTTCAAGTCGTTCTTTTAATTAGTTATATTTTATTGTTGTTTTTATTTAAAAATAAAACAAAACAATTTTGTCGTTTTAAAGGTTTTACACCTTAGACGTTTGTTATTGTTGGTTGTTGTTGATTTACTTAATTTACAATTATAATTTACACTTGTTCTTTTAATTGTTTTATTAAAAGTTTTATACATGCTTAGTTAGGACATTTTGACGAAGAAAAAAAATTAAGTTATTTGAAATAAATCTAAAAGAAGAAAAATTAAAGAAAATAAAATGTAAATATTAAAAGAAATATTAATAATTTAAGTTGAAATAATAAATTAATAACCTTGAGGGTCTTGTATAAGTTCTAAGGCTAAGCGCAACTGGGCAAAGAATTTATAGGATAAAGTTGAAAGTAAAAAGGTGTACTCCTAGCTTTCTGCATATTATCTATAATAATTGACAATGCGAGTTTTCAGTACAGACTTCTTCTGAAAATAACTGAAATATGGGCAATACTTTTGGCTCCTTAGACCTTTAGTAGACTTTGAATATTCCATGTAACATTAAATTCAAAATAGATAATATCGAAATCGTTGAATAACTGGCGATATTACAAATGGACAGGCAAATTTATATGCAAATACCCTTAGCAAAAAAATAGAAACTACCTACATTGGGATTTTAAATGGGACACGACTTGAGGTTATAACAACTATTCATTTAGTTGAAAAAACTGCCTTTTCTGCTTATAATTGTGTACCAGTAAAAAAGATTTTGTTGCAACTCTACTTGCGGCTTCATAAACTTTTCAAATTCCATTTGAAATTAAAGACAAACTAATGTGCAAATCGTTGAATAACTGGCGAAAATACAAATGGAAAGGCAAATTTATATGCTAATACCCTTAGCCAAAGGTGGACCATGCGGCAAATAATATTTGCAAGTTTCTTTTTTGCTTTTCTTTTTAAAGGTAATTAAAAAAATAAAATTTTAAAGACACCGGCTTTTTGTTTATTTTATTATCGCTTTTTATCTTGAATATTATTTTTTATTACTTTATTAATTTCTTTTAAGTTATTATATTTTCTCATTATTTTTCTTTTATTTATTTTTTTTAAATATTTATGTTTTTCTTTGACATTTTTTTGCAATTATTTTTTTGTTTTTTATTTTACTTCTCTTCACTTTTTTCTCATTTTTTCTCCATTCTTAGTGTACAGTCATTTTTTTCTAATGGGTAGGCGACCTTATTTTTAATTTTCACTTGTTTTAATTAGTTTTAAAGTAGAACAATTCATTTTTCTTAAAGTTAACATTTTAGTTAATAAAATAATAAACAATTTAGATAAATTAAAGGCAAAAATTAAGCAAAATAATTTATAGAAAAAATCATACCCGTCGTTTCTATGATGTCGTATATCGGGTCGAGTAAAGAGACACCGCATAGTGTTAAAGAGTTAGTAAATAACCGTTAATAATTTAGAAACAGGTAATCGGTTTTCAGGAAAAGAGATTAACATAAGTCAACAGGAATAATTTAATTTAATAACAATTTTGTACAGAGAATTATATATAATTCAATAACATTTGATTGACATAACAAAAATGCTATTATATTACTTTTATTAAAAAAATCTTCTATTAAACTTTCAGTTATTTGTTTACCTGAACGGTTACCTTAAAATTTGCAAACATTTGTGTTAACACTATAATGTCAAGTGTCAAAAACACAAAACGAAAGAAATCAAACAAAAAAATTATAAGGCTGCCATATGTTTTAATAAAAAATATATTTTTTATTCATGTTATTTATAACTATAAACAAATTAAAACATTAACAAAATTTTCACTTGAAAGCCATAATTTATATTATAAATTTTAAAATCCTATTGCATTTTATAAAATAAATTTTATTTTAAACATTTAAACAAAATAAACACAATCTGGCCACTTTTATTGTAAAATTTTTTTGCACATCTATTTTTCTAGTTTTTTTTTTACGAATGCATAAATATAGCAAAATAACAATAAAATTATTTACTATTTTTTTGTTCTAATTTTCAATTTTTTAATTTAATGAACTTTTATATTTTTTAAATTTTCTTTTTTTCACAATTTTTTTTGAACATTCTTTTCTTTTTTGTGTACAGCTGTTTTTCCTCTGTATGTATTTCATTGCAATTTTTTTCGTTTTTGCCAAGACACTTTATTTTTTCACATTTTTTTGTATGTGTTTTTTCTTTTTGTTATTACGTCATTTTTATTTAATTAATTACACGTAATAACACTCACCTTATGTTTTTAGTTTATTAGAAAATGTTTTAAAACTATTTTATGCACTAATTTTTACATATTTTCTAAAGAAAATGAAATTAAATAAAATTCGTAAAACTGCACATCACGTACAAAAAGAATTTACACAAAAAACTAATAGTGATGCCATATCTAATAGCCATAATTAGCAAAAGTAAAAAAGAAATGTCAAATTATTAAGAGTAACCAGATGTTTTTGCACAGTGAAGTGCTATTTTTGTTGAGTTCGACACACAAACATGTATACTTTTTACGGGCAGATTTTGCTGAAGTACCCCGCAGACAAAAAACGAAAAAAGTAAATTATTACATACAGAGTTGTATAAAAATGTAGTAAATGTGGAAAAATACTAAAACTAACAACTGTTCGCAACGGTTTGCTTAGCACAGTGTTTGCTTAGACTTAAAAAGTAAACAAAAGGGTTAATTAAAACTTTTAAATAAAAATAAATCAATTTTTAAAAGAAGTTAAGATTTTTTATATAAAATTAAAAAAGGAATTTTATACCTAAACAATCAAAGAAAATACTACTGAATTTTGGGGTTGAAATTTTATTTTACTTTTTATTTTTCATATTATTTTATAAAATGCAAAGCCCTTTTTGGCTACGCCTTTATTTTAGGCATTTCACAACAAACAAACATTATTCTTTAATTAGCTATATACTTGTTTAGTAAATAATTTATTGCTTTCTGTTTTAAATTGTATTTTTCCCAAATTGCATCATGAATATTACTTTAAATCAAGACTCCTTAAGAATTGATCAGGAGTTTTATAAAACCTTGACTCCTCTTAAACGTAAAACTTTTTCCGAAACTATGCTCATAAGACGAAGTCCTTTTCTACATTGTGAAAATCAAAATTCTGGAACTGAAAATCGTGGCAAATGTCTTTACTGCAGCAAACGTGCAAATAACACAAATAATTCTAAAACAAAGGAAAATAATATTCAAAGTAAACAAATATCTTGTTCAACTAGAATCCCATCATCATCCTCTGATCGTAAATTGACAGTCAAAACAGCTGAAATTGAAACAGTAACTAAAAATGAAAATAATTCCGAATATGAAACAGAAACTTGGTTAAAATTACAAAATGACTTAAGAAATCTGAAACTGAGACAAGAAAAACGTACGCATAAACCTCAAAGCAGTGAAATTGAAATAAAAACAACTGAGAAAGAAACACGAAATGGTAATAATAAAAAATTAAACCAAGGTTTTCAATCTGATAATAAAGACTTTCAAGAGAAACAGCAATCATCCCTAACATCTTTCCAATTTGAAACTTTTCCTAATAGAACAAATAATGGAAATGAAACCTTTAACTGTGAGGAATCTACCCAAATCAGTGGTTACTATTCCGAAGACTCTAAAGAAGAGTCCAGCAGTATTTTAGATCTTAATACTTCTTCAGAAAACTCTCTTAATGCTGCAAATCACAAAATAAAACCTTTAACAAATTCCACCTTCATTTGCCCGCAAGAAACAAGTGAAAATGAATCACAAGAATTTCAAACAGCAGCAAACAGTTTTCAAGAAAATGGCAATGAAACTACAAGTATTGAAACTAGAGAAAAATTGCCTTCTCCCAAAAAATATCCTTTTTATAAACCGGAAAACTTTCATATACCCTTAATCATTATAAATGAAATCGAGATTATACATCATGGTTTAGAAGTGGCCAAACCGGAAAAGAAATCCTTAAAATCTTTAAAAGTCCCTTTAATAACAATAAAATCCGAATTTGAAGAAAATAAAGAATTGCAAAAGAAACTTATTGAAATGAAACTATATAAACAAATTGATATAAAGGATAAAGTCATGGCGCACTTGTTGGAAATTTCGAGAGCCATAGACTTCCCGAAACTCAAACATTTGTGTAATTTAATGTGTGAAAAAACTGACGATGGCAGCTGCAAGAAAATGCTACTGGAGAAAGAAAAAGAAAAGAAAGTGGAAGAGGAATCTGGAGGTTTCTTTTATTCCATTTGGAGTGCCATTAAATATCCTTTTGTGCCAAATCCTAGTAAAATAGAGGAAAAGTATGATATTGAAAATAAAAAGGAAGAGGATAAAGAGAAAAATGAAGAGAAGGAAAGATCGGAAGAAAAGATTTCAGAAGACTTAGAGAAAGCGGATTCTAAGAGGACTGCAAAGGACAATTTAGATAATAAAGAAGATATTCCCAAAAGAATTATACTAGATAAGGGAAAAGAAACCTCTAAAAAAATTCAACCTACGGACAGTTTAGATAATAAAGAAAACAAGGAACCGAAAAATCTTTTTTCTGAAAAGGAAGATTCGGGAACTCAAAAAGAAGATACACTTGAGAATTATGTGAAAGAAACTAATAAGGACTTTAACAATACGGAACAGAAAGTAATAAGAGAAAATGATAATGTTGAAAACTTAAAGAATCTCAAAACTGACCATATTAGTAAAGATATAGACAAAACAAACAATTTTCTAGAAGAGGAGAAGAAAAACGAAGATTTAAATCTGCTAATACAAAATACTGATAAGATTATAGTTACTAAAGAAGAGGACAGTAAAATGGAGGCAACAAATAACAATAATTTGAAACAAGATGAAAGGAAAACAAATACGAATGCAGAAGATGAAAGTTCTAATAAGAAAACTGACAATTCCTGTCCCAAACCAACAGCAAATCTGGAGTCCAATAAGAAAATAGAAACTGAACAACAAGACAAAAAGCAAACCAAGAAAAAGAAAGGGGGTTTCTTTTCGTTTTTCTCAAAAAGAGAAAAAACTGATAAAGACAATAAGAATCCGGAATCGAAAGAACCCAGCAACGAAAACGCCAAGAAAATCGATGATATGGAACAGGTTTTAGAGGAATTAGAGAAAGAGGAGGAAAAACTCAAATTAGAAAAATTTAAGGAGGCCTTAAAGAAGGCTGAAAAGTTAACGGCAATAGAAACAAAGTCCAGATCCAAGAGAGCGGGTAGTTTTTAGAGAAAAACTTTAAATATTTACTTGTTTAAATAGTTTTTAAAAGTTTTGTATAATTAAAAAGAGAGATAAAGTACTGAATATTTATGATAGAAACTATTTCTTGTTTTTTATTTTTATTTTAAATTAAAAACAATTTGAAATTAAGTTTTTTCTAAGTTAAAATATTACTAATTAGAAATTTATCATTAACTTAAATTAATTATTATTAGCATCATCATTACTATTAAATTTTTATATAATTTTTTCTTTTCTTAAATTTTAACTTTATTTTAATGAATTTTTTTAATTATTTCATTATTATCATCATCATTATTAATTTTTGCAATAATATTAAGAATTTTTTAGTTATTTTATTATCATCATCATTATTAACATTTCTTATAAAATAATTATGTAAATTTTAAATAATTTTAAGAATTTATAAAAATGTTCTAATTATTGTTAAAAATATTTGATATTTTTATAAATTTTTTAAAAACTAATCTAATTTTAAGAATTTCTTTAAAAACTTTTAACATTCAGAAACAAAACTTTATAGTTTTTTAGAATATTTTAAAACCTTTTTGAAAATTTAAAGCAATATTTAGAATTTTTTAAATTCAACAAAATATTTATTAGTTTTAATTATAATTATCATCATTATTATCATTATCTATAAAATAATTCATGTAAAAAATTCATGTAATATTAATAAATTATTAAAATTGTTTACAATATTGTTAAGAAAATGTTAAATTTTATATCTTTGTCCTGATTATTGTTTATTACTTTAAAATAAAAATTTATTTAATTGTTAGATTTTGCTGAAATCTTTTATTATTAAGAAATATTTTTATTTTTCATTATATGTTTGTTATAATCATTGAAAGCACTTTCCCAAAAATAGTTGTAAAAATTTTCAAATTAATAAAATATCCAAAACATAATAATTTAGAACCAAGATATTATTTTTATTTTTAATATAATTATAAAAATAAAAGTTTAAAAAACTTTAGACTATTTTAGTCAATATTTTAGACAATAGTCTTGTCTATAATTTTTACTATAGTATAGTCTATAAATTAATCTGTATACTAATCAACAGTCTAGTCTGATCTATAGTCTATTATATGTTTTTGTCTATAGTCTAGTCTATATTCTATAGTGGTCTCTATAGTTTAGCCTATAGTATAGTCTTGTCTATTCTATAGTTTAAACTCTAGTTTATATAATAAAAAAATTTGTTTTCAATTTTTTTATTTTAAAATTATTGTTATTTTTATTAAAAAAACAAAATTACAATCACAACATGAAGTTCTTAAAAAAATACACTTAAATTTTTAACTAAACTTACAAATAAACAATTAATTTAACATAAAACATAACACTCTTAGAACATTTCAGAACATTTCAATTAAAATAACTAAAAAAACTTTTACTAAAATCATTCTATATTTAAAAATATTGTCCAGCATAGTAGATATCGTGCATTAGTATAGCACAATGTTTCTGATTCGTTATGCCCATCTGTTGAAGATCTTGCAACTTAAGCAAATGAAAAGTAAACAAATCGATTTCTTCCCTCTGAAAGAGGCCACAGTACATGGAAAGGCCGCGTTGTTGTAAAATTTTCGCTACCTGTGGACATAGAGGTTTAGCGGCGACCGGAGAGGCCTGGCGAAAATGACGATTTTGTTGTTGAGTTTGAAGATGGTGTTGTTGATGATGATGTTGTTGTTGGTGATATTGTTGTTGCTGCTGCTGTTGTTGTTGTTGTTGTATAATATGCAAACATTTTTGTTGCAATTTTTGCTGTTGCAGATTATGAAAAGATTTCGAATGGATATTTTGCGGCACATTATTATTTCTAGGCTTTAAAGGGGTGCGCACATTTGTAGGCGTGGCTGCATAATCTAAACTTATAACATGGCCACCCTTTTTAGGAGTAGGCGTAACTCCTGTATGTGTTATTTTCACTGTGGGAGCCTTAGGTGTTACATTATAATTAGATTGCTGTTGCTGTAGTTGTTGTTCTTTGCTGTGAGCACAATTTCTATTGCAAATTTGAGGTCTCACTTGCCCTTGGCTGTTCTCCTGCTCATGGGCCTCGAAAACATCTCGTATTTTAAGGAATTCTTCTGAGTATCTTTTAGGTTGCAGGGGGCAACCTTTCTTATGAAATATCCTATTGGCCTGTTGTAAAAGTTTCTTTTGTTGCTGTTCCACACGATGTTCCTGACGTACACTATCAATATACATGTCCAGAGAACCATCACCACCAAAGTTGAATTCAAATTTTGTATTTTCGCTCAGCGGTGTTAGAGGGGTTAAGGGGGAATTGGGCACTGGAAGTAAAAGAGAAAGAGGACATAGGATTAATGATTGCAGATATTAGGATAATGTTAATATGGATATCTAGACTTTAGTTTAGAATATAGTCTAAAGTTTAGTTTAAGAAATAATATATTCCAAAGTATAGACTGTAGTTAATAATTTAGGTTATAGTTCCAAATGTGGACGACAATCTAGTCTATAAAAAAAAAACTATAGTTTGATAATAGTTTAGTCCATAATCTACACTAGACTATATTCTCGTCTATAGTGTGGACAATAATCGAGTCATAGAGTATAGGACATAGTATAGTCGATAAATAAAATTATAGTCTATAATTAAGGCAATAGCTTAAGCAAAAACTAGTTCAAAGTTTAGACTATAGTTTAGTCCATAATTTAGGTTATAGTCAAGCCTATAGTTCAGATAATAGTAGAGTCCAAAGTTAAGATAACAGTCAAGTTTTGGCCACAGTCCAGTCGAAAACTATAATAGTCTATAATTTATAATGTAATCGTGTCCAAGGTCTAAAGTTTAAGCTATAGTCTAGTCTATTATTTAGTATAGTCTTCAGTTTTATCTATAAATATGTATATAGTTTAGGTTCTAGTCATCATTTTCCCCAAAGCTCTACTTCAAAGAACTTTTGTTACAAAGTATTTAATCTCTTACCAATACCCTTCCCTACTGTAGGGGCCTTTGGGAATTTTCATTTTAAAATTTATGTACATAAATTTAAATAAATACTAACTTGCTTGTAAATGACTATAACGCTCCATTGTTATTAAATTAATAAAAAAAGACAAACAAACAATAAACAATTTAAAACAATTACAGTAAACAATAAAATTTATTTGTTAATTTAGTTATAATTTTTAAAAGAAAATGGCTAAATAATAAAATGCCATACGTAATAAATTTAAAACAAAAATATTGAAAATCAGCTTAATAAAACATGTCTAACGATTACCGTTACTTAGGGTTGTTTAAAAAGGTGTTAATAATTAATACAACTCTGTTTAACCTGTTAAGGGGCGTTAATATTAAAAAAAAAACTTTAACAATCCGAAATAGTTCAACAATTCTATTTTAGATTTTTAATAGCGGTTACGAAACGTTTTATAAATAACAATCAAAACTAATTGTCAACTTCAGTTGTCAACATCACTTCTTTAAAGCGATTTTTTGTTTGTTTACTAATTCCTTTTTGCTTTTTAGTTTGTTCTTGACCGTCGCGTAGTTTATAGCGAGTGCGTGTGTGTCCGTTTTTAAATTAATTTTAAAGTGGTAAAAAGTTTATAAAAATTAATAAAATTTGTTAATAAATATAGTTAAATATGTTAGCTAACTAGTACATGTGTTAAAAATTCGTTTCGATACCGTTTTCTATATCAAAATCTTGTGTAAAGTTATGAGTGAAATTAGTGAAATGTTGTGTAAAATATATGTAAACAACAGGGATGGGATGAAGAGCTCATTAGCAAATAGTGTGTATAAAAGAGAAGGGAGTAAGCAAATGTTATAAATTGAAGGGAATATAGTTAATTTTATAAATGTGAAGAACTTTTATGAAAAAAATGCCAATTTTAACGCAGTTACATCAAAAATATTTAAAAAAGGTAAGAATGATTTAATTTTTAGTAACATTTTACTCTAAATAATTTCTTTAAAATTTTAATAAAAATTTTGCAAATTTTAAAGGTACAAATTTCTTTAAATAGGGATAAATTTAACTCATAAGTTTAGTATAGTCTATAGTGTAGTATATAGTATAGTCTATAGTATAGTTTATAGTATAGTCTATAGTATAGTCTATAGTATAGTCTATAATACAGTCTATAGTATAGTCTTGTATTTATTATAGTCTATAATACACTAGTCTATAGTCTATAGTCTATAAACTAGTCTAAAGTCTGGTCTGGTCTATAGTCTAGTCTATGGTTTAGTATAAAATCTACTCTTTTATCTAGTTTATTTGTTACTTTGGGATTTATAAATACATATATTTTTCCCTTATCTTCAAACATTTTGCACTTAAGCGATTAATTCTCAGGGTTGCAACTCGAAGTCCTACTATTTTTTCCACTGCTTTAATAATGCAGTTAAAATTTCTAACTGTAAACTTAAAGCCATCATTAAAATAAGAATTATAAAAACGTGATTTAGCAAATTTTTATAAAAACCCGAAAAAAACTATAAAAATTTTAAAACATAACTGATTAATTAAAAAAATATAAAATCTAACAAAATGTCTTCTTGGATGGATCAAATAATTGCTCCCTACTTAGCATCGCCTTTGGCTAATTCCACTAAAATCCACAATAACGTCTACACAGATGGACCCGATATAAGTCTAACACGACTTGGCTACCGTAATACAGGTTATCAGCCCATTAATATTACGCAGGCTGCAGAAAAATCTCAGGAAACTAAAGAGACAACCACTACAAATGAAAGCATAGAGGCAACAGATACTTCCACTACTTCCAACAACGAAAGCAGTAATAAAACCTCACCCAAATCTAAAACCACTAAGGGGGCGGGCAAAAAACCTGTGGTTTCTAGAAAATCTATAACCGCCAAAAAAACCATAGAACCTATTAAGGCGGTGGCCATTAATTGCAAAAATAATGGCGTTACTGTGGAAAAAATACTCAAACAAATTAATATGACCAAATATCAACAGGCCTTTAAGAAAATTGATGTACCAAAATTTGGGGCATTAAAGGAAATTGATTTAAATGCAATTGGCATTACCCGACCCTCGGAGATAAGGACCTTTATGGATGCCATTAAAAAGGCTAAATCCGATACATTTATTATAAAACAAAATTAATTATGCAATTATTTAAAGTTTTTGTAATTGTTTGTTTTTGTTTGTGTTGTGTTTTTTAAACGTTCATTTAAACTTTTTTTGTACTTTTTTTATTTGTTTTTATTTAACCAAGTGCCGGTCACTCCAAAATAAATTTGTGTTTTTTTATTATTTTATTCAATGATTAATATTCAAATTGTTTCGTTGTTGTTTTTTTATATAAATTTTAAAATTTCAAATAATTTTATAGGTTTATTTTAAAATGAAACCAGTCCAACAGGATTTGTTGGCAAATTATAAATTTCTGGCTAATAGCCTTTTTTAAAATGCGTTTTAGATTTTGTATGTTAATTTGGGTTTGTTATACATTCCAAAGTTCAAAAAACTTGTGGTAATTTTTGGAATAATGATGAAAGGAAATTTGTTCCAGAGTTTTAAAACAAGAATTTTTGTAAGTGTTGTATAGGTTGTAAGTTATTTGAGAAAATTTGTTAGTTGGTTGGTTTCAAACATGTTGCAACATATTAAAAGTCATTAGCATGTGCTGCCATATTGTTGGAATAATTTCCGCAATGTATACTAGAGTGTTCCGAGGAACTGTATTTTTAAAAGATTGGCATAATTATTGTCCATTGCAGAATTTTTTGGAATTTATATGGCCCTTATAATGCACTAAAAGTAGTTTAGTGGACATGAAATACGTTTTCAATTGTCTTCTTCTTGTATTGACACTTTTCTTAAAGACTACCGTAAACACATGTTTTTATTGTGGTCTTGTGGTTTCAATTGTAATCAAACTGTTACAGCTTAATTATAATTGGAACCACAACCGCTGTCGACAATGAATAATTTTTTAACCATTCCTATTTATTTCGTAAAGAATAATTCTAATTTTAAACAAAAACATAATTTTCTTTGATTTTTTCTAATAAACTTCAGAAAATGTGGTTTGTCGACAGTCGCTTAATTTTAATTCGTCGCTCGCTCTTTTTTTGTGGTTTGTCGACAGCGGTTTAAATTGTAATCAAACTGTTACTCAGCTAAGAAATCTCATTTTGTTTCTGTTTGCTTTACTTTGTTTCTCTCATATTTTCTCTCTTTAAAAACTAAAGTTGTCAATCGTTAACTATTCCAAGATTCTTGTCTCTACTAAAATATAAAACATAATTATAATGCTTTCTCTTTCTAACCTTAAACCACTGAGAAATGTTATCATAACAAAAGTTGCCACTACATTATCAAAACTCATTAAGGGTTCATGTCTTCACTACTTACCAGCAAAGCCACACACTTTAACATACAATAAAGCAATATGGCGTTTTGACAAATGAAATGTAAACATGACTTGTTGCTTTTCTCATTTAGTTAAAGTTTGGCCGTCGTGTTGTTAATTTCGCAAGTGAAAATGTTTGTGGTAAAAAATTAATTATTAATTTGGTAAAATGTCACAAAAGTTAATGAAATTTTGCATTAAAATAAAGTTAAAAGTGTAAGCTATAAAATGAAATCGAAAAAAATACAGTTTTATATTGATTTCTTGCTTAAAATTGTGTGTAAAGTTGCTGCTGCTTCATTAGTTGTGAAATTGTTTAGTGGCTTGTCATGCCATTAGTATTAGAGTTGAGTCAGGGGTACTGAAGTAAACGCAAAAGTACCAAAATTGGAGTAAATGTGTAAAAGGAGTAGCAAATGATAAAATTGAGTGCATTTTTTACAAATGTTGTATTTTGAATGATCCTAATGGTGATTTATTGATAAACGGCGGAATTATGTAGGATAACAAGGTATGACAAGTTAATTATTAAAATTTTTAATAAAATTGAAGGGAAAATTTATTAAGGAAATAATATTGTATAAATAAATATCCTGAAAATTATGTAAATTTATTTTTAAATATTAAAATTTGTTAAAAATTTTAAAATGTTGTAAATTTACTAGGTTAGTTCTAGTTCAGTTTTAGTTCAGTTCTAGTTCAGTTCTAGTTCAGTTCTAGTTCAGTTCTAGTATAGTTCTAGTTCAGTTCTAGTTCAGTTCTAGTTCAGTTCTAGTTCTAGTTCATTTCTAGTTCAGTTCTAGTTCAGTTCTAGTTCAGTTCTAGTTCAGTTCTAGTTCAGTTCTAGTTCAGTTCTAGTTCAGTTCTAGTTCAGTTCTAGTTCAGTTCTAGTTCAGTTCTAGTTCAGTTCTAGTTCAGTTCTAGTTCAGTTCTAGTTCAGTTCTAGTTCAGTTCTAGTTCAGTTCTAGTTCAGTTCTAGTTCAGTTCTAGTTCAGTTCTAGTTCAGTTCTAGTTCAGTTCTAGTTCAGTTCTAGTTCAGTTCTAGTTCAGTTCTAGTTCAGTTCTAGTTCAGTTCTAGTTCTAGTTCAGTTCTAGTTCGGTTCTTAGTTCAGTTCTAGTTCAGTTCTAGTTCAGTTCTAGTTCAGTTCTAGTTCAGTTCTAGTTCAGTCTAGTTCAGTTCTAGTTCAGTTCTAGTTCAGTTCTAGTTCAGTTCTAGTTCAGTTCTAGTTCAGTTCTAGTTCAGTTCTAGTTCAGTTCTAGTTCAGTTCTAGTTCAGTTCTAGTTCAGTTCTAGTTCAGTTCTAGTTCAGTTCTAGTTCAGTTCTAGTTCAGCTCTGGTTCAGTTCTATTTCAGTTCCAATTCAGTTCTAGTTCAGTTCTAGTTCAGTTCTAGTTCAGTTCTAGTTCAGTTCTAGTTCAGTTCTAGTTCAGTTCTAGTTCAGTTCTAGATCAGTTCTAGTTCAGTTCTAGTTCAGTTCTAGTTCAGTTCCAGTTCAGTTCTAGTTCAGTTCTAGTTCAGTTCTAGTTCAGTTCTAGTTCAATTCTAGTTCAGTTCTAGTTCAGTTCTAGTTCAGTTCTAGTTCAGTTCTAGTTCAGTTCTAGTTCAGTTCTAGTTCTAGTTCAGTTCTAGTTCAGTTCTAGTTCAGTTCTAGTTCAGTTCTAGTTCAGTTCTAGTTCAGTTCTAGTTCAGTTCTAGTTCAGTTCTAGTTCTAGTTCTCGTTCTAGTTCGTTCTAGTTCAGTTCTAGTTCAGTTCTAGTTCAGTTCTAGTTCAGTTCTAGTTCAGTTCTAGTTCAGTTCTAGTTCAGTTCTAGTTCAGTTCTAGTTCAGTTCTAGTTCAGTTCTAGTTCAGTTCTAGTTCAGTTCTAGTCAGTTCTAGTTCAGTAGTTCTAGTTTTCAGTTCTAGTTCAGTTCTAGTTCAGTTCTAGTTCAGTTCTAGTTCAGTTCTAGTTCAGTTCTAGTTCAGTTCTAGTTCAGTTCTAGTTCAGTTCTAGTTCAGTTCTAGTTCAGTTCTAGTTCAGTTCTAGTTCAGTTCTAGTTCAGTTCTAGTTCAGTTCTAGTTCAGTTCTAGTTCAGTTCTAGTTCAGTTCTAGTTCAGTTCTAGTTCAGTTCTAGTTTTAGTTCTAGTTCAGTTCTAGTTCCGTTCTACTCAGTTCTTGTTCAGTTCTGGTTCAGTTCTAGTTCAGTTCTAATTCAGTTCTAGTTCAGTTCTAATTCAGTTCTAGTTCAGTTGTAGTTCTAGTTCAGCTCTAGTTCCATTACTAATTCTTTGCTTATCCCTCTGGCAACCTTTATTGAAGTGTAAAAAAAAGTAAACTAAACAATAACAATACAATATAATAAAAAACACATGTTTGGCAACTAAAAGCCGGCTTGTTTTGTTTATATTCTCACTCGCTCACTCTCTCACTTACTCTCTCTCTTCCCCAAAACAAAACAATAAGAAATAACCCCCACAAAAAAAGAACAAGTGGAGCCATTTGTTTACCTATAAAAGTCAAAAACAAAAACACGACAAGCAACACGAACATGTTTTATTGTGTTCGTTCCACACCAAATCATTGAAAGCTGGCTCTGAACAGGTTTGAAATAATTGTAAATAAAATAATGCAATCTAGCTGTTGCTAATTTAGTCGCAGTTACAACTTCGAGGTGTTAAAATCGTAAGCTAAACGGGAAAAATTTTATTTTTTTGCGTAAAAATTAAAAAAATCTTTTTAAAAAATCTAAAAAAAATTATAAATTCGAAAAAAGGAAAAATTTTAAACAAGTAAAACAAAGTTAATACTATTTAATAAAACGAAATAATTTTTTTTAAATTTAAAGCATATCAAATTTTATTTATAAAGGAAATATAGCAAAGCATACAAAATTTTTTCTAAAAGCCAAATAAAAGTGTTTTTTTTATAGAAATTATAAAATAAATTTCTTAAAGTTTTAAACAAGTTTTAAGCTTTTTGTGGGTTTTACTTAAAACATAAAGCAAATTTCTTAATTATTTTTCATTAAAAAAGAAAATTAGTGATTTTAATTAACAATTACTTGAGCAACGAGTATAACTCAATTTTCAAAAATTAAAGAGAGTGAGTTGAGGAGTGTTGGTGGTTAATTGTTTACTGCATATAGTGGTAAGTTTTAAAGTTGCTGTTGTTAAGACCATTTTGTGTTTTTTAAAAAAATTTTTAATTGCGTTTTAATAGTGAGTGATTTATGTTATTGCAATTGTTGGTTTTGTAGCTGCTGCTGTTGCTGCTATATTGCAATTTGTTTAAGTGTTATTTTAAAGCGTTCATGAGTTTTGCATACAAAATTAACAAATAAATAATTTAATACAAATTAAATAGAGAAAAAAACAAGCAACAACAAAAAAATATTGGTAATCAAAAAGAATTAGCCAATAATTAACGTTTTCCAGTTCACTTGCGAAAATATTAACTAAAAAGCTAACAAAAAATCTGTAAAATTAACCAACAAATATACAACAAAACAAACAAAAAAACTAATAACAATTGAATGTTAAGTTAATAATTGGAAAAAAAAACGCTTCTAGCCCAGATACATTTTAATAACAATTACCACCATTACTACTACAATGGAGTATTTTTTTGTTCTTTGGTTAGAACAAGTTTGTTGTTAAAATTAATAAATTATATTTTTAAGAGAGTTGCCAACATAAGATTGTCTAGTTATATGCAAGGATTTGGTAATTACCTAAATTAACCCAGGATTGGAGTTTTAAAACTTTTACTTAAAACTATAAAACTTTGGGAATTGTTTTTGAAGCAAAATAAAAATTTCTTCTGCAGCAGAAAATTATAAATTTTGTTAAGAAGAAGTAGACAATTTTTTTTTTTATCAAACTGTGTGAAGCAAATTTTGTGCTAAAGTTAATGAGTAATTTTGTGCAATTTTTAAAAAATATTTAAAAATGTTGCAATCAGTATTAAATTTTAACTTAAAGCCTCGATTACAACTGCAAGCTCAAGTGATTTCATTAATTAACGTAATTAAATAATTAAATATAAATAATACAAATGGAAAATTGTTATTAAAGGTGATAACTACAGATCTGAAAACTTAATATTATGAAATTTTTTTATAAATTTAAAGTTAAAGAATGTTATTAACCATTTTAAAAATTTTGCTAAATTTCTTTAAAAATTTACATAAAAACATCCCAGCAAAAACTTTAATTATTAATTAAAATGCTAAAATTTACTTACACAATAGCATTTCAAATCATTATTTGAACACGGTTCTGCCATTAAAGGCAAGTACGTACCACGTTCGCTTATAAATAGGCAGTTTAATAACTACTTACCACAATAGCTTAGGATTAAAATATTAAGGAAGCTGTTAGCCCAGACGGAAGGCTAGAAGTTAATTAAAACTTAATGCAGATGATGAAATTTTGCTTTACTATAGACTAGACTATAGACTAGACTATAGACTAGACTATAGACTAGACTAGACTATAGACTAGACTATAGACTAGACTATAGACTAGACTATAGACTAGACTATAGACTAGACTATAGACTAGACTATAGACTAGACTATAGACTAGACTATAGACTAGACTATAGACTAGACTATAGACTAGACTATAGACTAGACTATAGACTAGACTATAGGCTAGACTATAGACTAGACTATAGGCTAGACTATAGACTAGACTATAGACTAGACTATAGACTAGACTATAGACTAGACTATAGGACTAGACTATAGGACTAAACTATAGACTAGACTATAGACTAGACTATAGACTAGACTATAGACTAAACTATAGACTAGACTATAGACTAGACTATAGACTAGACTATAGACTAAACTATAGACTAGACTATAGAATAGACTATAGACTAGACTATAGACTAAACTATAGACTAGACTGTAGACTAGACGATAGGCTAGACTATAGACTAGACTATAGGCTAGACTATAGACTAGACTATAGACTAGACTATAGACTAGGACTATAGACTAGACTATAGACTAGACTATAGACTAGACTATAGACTAGACTATAGACTAGACTATAGGCTAGACTATAGACTAGACTATAGGCTAGACTATAGACTAGACTATAGACTAGACTATAGACTAAACTATAGACTAGGACTATAGAATAGACTATAGACTAGACTATAGACTAAACTATAGACTAGACTATAGACTAGACTATAGGCTAGACTATAGACTAGACTATAGGCTAGACTATAGACTAGACTATAGACTAGACTATAGACTAGACTATAGACTAGACTATAGACTAGACTATAGACTAGACTATAGACTAGACTATAGACTAGACTATAGGCTAGACTATAGACTAGACTATAGGCTAGACTATAGACTAGACTATAGACTAGACTATAGACTAGACTATAGACTAGACTATAGACTAGACTATAGACTAGACTATAGACTAAACTATAGACTAGACTATAGACTAGACTATAGACTAGACTATAGACTAAACTATAGACTAGACTATAGACTAAACTATAGACTAGACTATAGACTAAACTATAGACTAGACTATAGACTAGACTATAGACTAGACTATAGACTAAACTATAGACTAGACTATAGACTAGACTATAGACTAGACTATAGACTAAACTATAGACTAGACTATAGAATAGACTATAGACTAGACTATAGACTAGACTATAGACTAGACTGTAGACTAGACTATAGACTAGACTATATAGACTAGACTATAGACTAGACTATAGACTAGACTATAGACTAGACTATAGACTAGACTATAGACTAGACTATAGACTAGACTATAGACTAGACTATAGACTAGACTATAGACTAGACTATAGACTAGACTATAGACTAGACTATAGACTAGACTATAGACTAGACTATAGACTAAACTATAGACTAGACTATAGACTAGACTATAGACTAGACTATAGACTAAACTATAGACTAGACTATAGACTAGACTATAGACTAGACTATAGACTAAACTATAGACTAGACTATAGAATAGACTATAGACTAGACTATAGACTAAACTATAGACTAGACTGTAGACTAGACTATAGACTAGACTATATAGACTAGACTATAGACTAGACTATAGACTAGACTATAGACTAGACTATAGACTAGACTATAGACTAGACTATAGACTAGACTATAGACTAGACTATAGACTAGACTATAGACTAGACTATAGACTAGTCTATAGACTAGACTATAGACTAGACTATAGACTAGACTATAGACTAGACTATAGACTAGACTATATAGACTAGACTATAGACTAGACTATAGACTAGACTATAGACTAGACTATAGACTAGACTATTGACTAGACTATAGACTAGACTATAGACTAGACTATAGACTAGACTATAGACTAGACTATAGACTAGACTATAGACTAGACTATAGACTAGGCTATAGACTAGACTATAGACTAGACTATAGACTAGACTATAGAATAGACTATAGACTAGACTATAGACTAGACTATAGACTAGACTATAGACTAGACTATAGACTAGACTATAGACTAGACTATAGACTAAACTATAGACTAAACTATAGACTAGACTATAGACTAGCCTATAGACTAGACTGTAGACTAGACTATAGACTAGACTATAGACTAGACTATAGACCAGACTAAAGACTGGATATAGACCAGACTAAAGACTATAGATTAGACTGCGGACTATGTTATATATTAGAATATAGACTAGTCTATAGGTTAGACTGCAGACTATACAGCAGATTGGAGTGTAGATTAGAATATAGGTTAGAGTATAAACTAGACTACAGAATATACTATAAAGTAGACTATAGACTAGACCCTTGTATTTACTTTCCTCTTCTGTTTAAATAACTGAACTATTTCTACTTATCCTTACTGTATAACTTGCTATTTCATACCAAAAAACTATTTTTAAAAACTATTTCTATTAAACTATTAGAAAATCTCTTCAAGTTTCATTTTATAAAGATTTTTAGTTTTTGAAAAACACTTTAAACACTTTCTACTTTGTTGTTTATTAAATAACATTTTCCTTTTAACTTAAGCTTTTTAGCTTAAAGCCTTTAATGATAATTAGTAGTACATGTATTTATAAGAGAACTTTGTTTATAATGATTTAATATTTAATACAACTACATACATTCATATGTACTATGTTAGTGTTTATAATTTGTATACATATGTAGTACAAGAGCACTTAAAATGTAGCACTTTTTACATACTCTGCTAAACATGAGTACTTATGAATGATATTTTGTTTTTATTTTTCTAGTTTTTCCTTGTGCTCACATTTTATGTTGTTGAATTTTTACTTAAAACACTGTGTTAGTAAATAATAACATCAGCAGCAACAACAACAACAAGTATTACAAAATAATATAGAAAAAAAAGAATCCTTTAATTATCTACTAATTACTAGCTTTTTAAGGATTATAATCTTAACAAATATAACACACAACTACAAATACTATCTCTCGTACACACATGTTTAAAAATTCTTATATTTTTATTTTGTTTTATCCTTGATTTTTTCTCTGTATTTTTTTTCCTTTTGCTCATCAATGTTTTTACGTAAATATATGTATGTGCACATCCTCTCTTTATTTGATTGAGTATTAGTGTAAGTAGCTACTTAATAATCACGTAAAAAGAACGAAATGAAGAAATCCTAATAGTTGATTTTTAAATTAAAGCCAATGAAATTTTTTTAGCTGAAAGTTTACACTAACTTGCACTGAATTTTATACAGATATTTTAGCTGTTTGCTTTATTTTTTGATTTATTAATTACCACACTTGACACCGATTAGCAGTGACTATGGCTGTCAAGGAGGATAATATGTTTGATTTATTTATAGCATATTTTGGGGGAGTGAAAGATGATGAAATATCATTTTAACAAGAACTTAAAGGGACATTTTGTAGATTTTAAGGAAATTGTAAAACTTAAATTAGAGAAGATTATAGGCTAGATTATAGACAAGACAATAGAGTAGATTATAGACTAGGATCTAGACTAGACTATAGAGTAGACTATAGAATAGACTATATAGTAAACTATAGAGTAGACTTTAGAGTAGACTATAGAATAGACTATAGAGAAGAC